CCCCCCCCCCCACCTCTCACACCTCAAAAAAAAAATAATGGTCCGTCCCTTAAGCCTTCCAAGTCTAGTGGTAGAAGTTCTTTTGAATTGAAAAACGCCAAAGCGCTCTAATCAAATGGAAGACATGAATTCATTAATAAGAATTTGTATTGATGTGTTATCCCACCTTGATTGCGAGTCGAAGGTAAACTTCCATCAGACAAGTCTTCACTTGTCATCAGGTTCACAGCGATCATTCTCTGAAAAAGTCCTCTTTGAATGTCTGCACAGCGCATCAACGCCTCTAGGGGCTCTTTTAAGTCACACAGCAAAGCCCCTGGATCATAAGTCCCATTCTGTCTGGCGCTTTCTGTGTGGCGAGCCTCGAGCAGGTCTGATGCTTCAGTATCCCCAGACAGAGCATTAGTAACATGCTGATTAAGTTTGAGCAACACAAGTCTGTAGAGGGAGTTCTGAATTTGCATGCACTTGACAATACTCTCCAAAAGACAGTCCGTAAGCTGCCTTCCCTCTGAAGAAGTCAGGGTTTCTGTCGGTTGCCTAAATACATCACGTGGATCTGCGGTGGACTGTGAGGTAAAATCGATGGTTGGAGTGAGAGAGAAGTTGTGTGGTGGAGGAACTTCAGAATTGCCGTCTGCACAAGAATCTGTGGACACTAACAAAAACACAATACAATTAATTAAAGACACGGGTAATGCTATTCCTGAGTCGTATTCGACTCAACGCTCTCCTGCTAAAGGAGCTACGTCACGGCTTGCGCATCATGAAAAGTTAAGCCTACATTTTTTAAGTTCTTCCTTTGTAATCCGCGTTAATCTTCTCCATCCTTAATCATCCTTGTTCTCTGGAGTTTAATTATTAACTTTATGGTGTTTTTCTATCTTATTTAACCATTACTTTCAGGTTTCCTTCAATTTAAAGGTGATTTTTTTACGTGGCCAAAATAACTCACAATACCGTGACTGAGCTCATTTAAAGGAAGCAGTTTTACGGCGAATCCATCAAACAACAAAATTCCGTCCGAACACTACACAATGTAATACTTAATATGGGTGTCTCAGCTACCAAGGAACGAGAAAAGCCTTTTGCACGTCTGAATGCTTTGAATGATGGGTTTACCTATGACTGGTAAAACCCCATTTATTACTAACACCAACTAAGATCATATAGACCTTGCCACGAACAAGAAAAGGAAAAAAAAAAGCACAAGAAGCTGCATGAAATGCAAGAGTCACCATGACTAGGGTGAAGCAATACCGCACTTTCATGTTACGCTCTTACCACAGCAACTACAACAATATCAAAACGTCATGAAATGACAAAGTCTACAATACAGTGCCTAAATAGGCCCTTTGCAGCTAGGTCAACACGTGACGTACTTTTCATAAAATTATGGGCTATAACTTAAAGAATGCCAGAAATGGAAAAAGCATGTCAAAATACCAAAAGGGCCAAGTTTGAGGCCCCTGGCATTAAAGAAAGAGATTTTATGATGGTGTGAATTTTTAAAAAATTAAGAACCTAAAGATTTGTATGGAAAAAGTTGTTGGAGAGCAAGACCTTGCTCTCCAGCAACATTTTCCATAGATATCCTCTAAATTGTTCGAAAATTCAAACTGTCATCTAAACTTACTCTTTAATGCCAGGGGCTTCTAAATTGGCCATTTTGCTACTTTCAATATGCTCTTTCCATTTTTGGCATTCTTCATATTAATGCCAATAATATAAAAAAATTTTTAAACAACAATTTTTGTCACATCACCCCAGCTGTAAATGGAGTGTAGGAATCACCACTTGCAGTAATTATTGCTATCTATCAAAGTGTAACGTTCAGTAACAATGCTGGTTGTAACAGATGAACTTAAAATAAAGCACTTAATTAAAGCTCTTATTAATAAAAATTAGCGCTTTAGTCAAGCACAGTATTCTAAGTACCACAAACGTCAGGAGCAACACCTTAAGTTATCAAGCATTTTTCTTATCTGATTAAGCACTAATTGCAAACTAAACAGCTTAGATCTCACAAGCAGTAGCATAACAAATAGTTTAAGAATCTTAAACACCCGGTAAGAAAGCTAATGCTAAAAGCTGTACTTCTATAACTAGGCAAAAATAAAGAACCAGCATAAGCTGCTGATGCAATGACGGCACGAACAAAGAGAATATACGTCTTCATGATTGAAGTAAACCAGTAGCTCTCCTTTCTTTTTCTTGCGTTTTTTTTCTAAAAGAAATGCGATATTGAGTTACAGAAATGTAATACTTGTAAAAGTTTGGAAGATCTTGAGAAAACTGTGGATTGGTTAAACTTTACAAGCTCTATGACACAGCCAGAGTGTTTGCATGTCGTTTGAGAATTACAGCATTAATCCAACAGCACAAACTATAAACCTATGCTAAACATGCCAACATTAAAAACTCTTGTTGCGACTAATGAAGGAAATCCTTACTTGGACTTGGAGATCTCACTTCAACGGATGATTTTAACCAATATTCTGCCTGTTGACTTCGTATTTTCCTAGATTTACCTGTCTTGATTTGGGTGTTGAACACTGAACTACACAAATAACAAAGGGAAAACAAAGTAAATCAAAGTAGGAGCAGCCACCTGGCTTCATAACTCCAGTGTTAGCTCGACTGAAAGCAGAGGCCCTACCAGTTGTGAACTGTGTCCGCCCTATAAGCAAAAAAGCAATCTTGACTTTTCTGTTGTAAATTTTTTAATTAAATAATTGAATATGTATACCTTGAAGTTGAAGACCCAGGTCTTGTCAGGTACTGATAGTCTTCTAATCGTAATTCCTAGATCAAAGGAGAAACAAAAATATATTGTTGTACACTTTATGCAACTTTCAGCAATAAAGTGACAAGGCACTGACCAGCAGAGTTCATACATGTGATGATAAACTGATAAAAATTAAATGCTTATCAATTGTATACACCAAGAAGAGTTGGCATATCCAGAAATATGGCAGCACAAAGCAAATTGATGATTAGAATTTATTTACACCAGAAGCTTTTTGCAACATTCTCTGATGGATGTGTAAAATTCAAAAATTTTGTTTTCCAAGGGAATGATCTTTTCTTAAAAACTTGGCAGGATTTCTTGAAAGGAAATACTACAAATGACAAAAAGACTACAAATGCATGGACAGGCTTTTGGAAGTAATTAAATACCAGTTGATGTGTTCTGAATTTGCACCATTCATTTCATTTCCATTCATGTCTAATAAAACATTTTTTTTCATGCTTCAGTGGAACCCAACCACATCAAAAAAGCGTTTCATTTGTATATAAAAAAAATTTACAGTTCTTTTGTAATGTTTTAGTCTCTTTGATACTGATAAACCAACAAAATGCAAATCCCTGTCACAGACAAAGGTTAATAGCATCTTTTATAACCTAGAACCCCCACAGGGTGTCTAATACACTTCTAAAATGACCAATCTAGATTCTTATTTGTTGATGATTTTGTAAAGTCCTGTTGAGTAACAGAGCCACTCAACATTTTCAGCTTCCCTCTTATTAAATGAGAGTATTTCGGCCAAGGGACGTGTGAGTCAGCTGACATTTATTAAATGATTTTCAGGGTAAAACTTAATACTCACGTCAATGCTTTTTGCAGAATAAACTTTCATCACAGTTATGGTTTGAAACCTCTCTTTCTTTCCTCCCAGGATATCAGGCATTAACTTTGGCGTTGTAGCCTATAAACAAAAGTCATTATTAATGGGGTACTAAAAGAATATTGATATTTTGTGTGAATATCTTAGATTTATTAACCAAGCCCACAAGCTCAGTCTCCCGTTTTATAGCTTGTATTCTTATGCTGAAGAACTAGCAAGTCATTGAGATAGCCATTAAATATTCACTGTGCAAGTCAAAAAACCGTGAACGCTTAATTTGGTTTGATTCTAACAGGTCAGTTGACTGTACTAACCAGTCACAATAAAAATTAGGACATTTAAGCAATCTTCAAAACCACAAAACAAATTACCTTCGTTGTTTGCAGTTTAGCTTTCTCACACCCAATTGGCTTTTTCCTTGCCACATGGTAACATTCCATAAATATTTCTGGGGATTCACAGTTTTCCTGAGTCTTTACAACTTATACATGTCCTACTCTACAGTTGTCGATTGAAATAACATTTGAGACTGTTTCTTTAATGAAATCTTAGTACAGTAGGAAGTAAATAAAAGATGTTTTTGCATGTGACAATCAGCACGTTTTGCATTTTCAGTAAATTTAACACAAAAACCCCACATGCAAGTGTAGATTGCTAAGAATAAGTAATTGTATTTACAAAGGTTGTCAAGATTGAAGAGAGACTACTACAGAGAACAAAATACTGTATGTTGAGCAAAGGCTAAAGATAAATTTCATCATCCTCATCTGTCCTTTTAGATGCCAAGTGGTGAATAGGGCATCAACGAGACTTCTCTGTCTCGTTCCTTTGCCAGCTGAACAGCTAGCTCCCAGTTAAGGTTTAGAAGCTGAAATTGTGCCGATCTACAGTCATCCTCCAGGTGGATTTGGGATAGATAAATAAAAAAATTAATTAAAAAATCAATGATAATTGTTATAGTAATTAATTGGTTGAAGCAGATGACTTACATGGAATTGTATAGGTGTTCCAAACACTGTCCAGTCTACAGGCCGAATTACTGAAAATAAACGAAAAATAATTGGCTATAAGTGAACATCAGCAACTTCTAAAGGTTTTTCTTTCTCCAATTCTAGCAAAGTAAAGCATTGTAGAACTTCTGTCTGCTTTCAACAATGCTGCAAAGTTCACTGTTAAGTTGTGGACTATGGCTGTGAAGCCCTTTATTGAAAGAACAACTCACTGCAGTGGTAAATTAATAATTCAATTTGGGGAAGCAGGGATGGCGCAGTGGTGATAGCGCTTGCCTCCCACCAATGTGGCCCAGGCTTGATTCCAGTCCAGTGCCATACGTGGGTTGAGTTTGAGGTTGGTTCTCACCTTGCTCTGAGGGTTTTTCTCCAGGCTCTCTTGTTTTCCTCCCTCCACAAAAAACCAATACTTCAAATTCCGATTCGACCNCCCAAGAACACAACGCAATGTCCCCGGCCAGGGCTCAAACCCGGACCGCTCGATCCGGAGACGAGCGCACTAACCATGAGGCCACCGCGCCTCCCCATTACATGAACTCGTGATTTATCTCCTTTTTGCAGTGTTCTGTGTAACTTGGAATATAAATACTACGTAAATGGATGAATGGATAAATAAACCAGAATTGCAGAAATATGAACAGAAACCTCATCTTAGATCACACCTTGAAGGAAATTACTGAATACTAACCTTGACAAGATTACTATGAATTCTTGCATTCTTCAAGGAGACCAGACCTCTTGAAGCATCTTGTCTATGACCCATTACAACATAGGCACATCCCCTAGGTGGAACCATCTGTAACCAGAAATTTATCTGTCAGTACTTAATATCTCTCCCTCTTGCTTTCTTAATTCAAGATGAGGCAGTAACAGGGGTACAAGCCTTGACCACACATTTGTTCTTGATAAGTGTCTGTTTTGTTGTTTGAGAAAATCAAGAGATCAGAGAATGCGAAGGAAAAAACTAGGAATCGCAACTCTGGATTGGATCAATAGACCAGTAGATGGTGGAATAAGAAATTTTTCATCTTGAATTGGACTTCTGGATTAGTGGGGTAATTTGACGAGTACCAGTATAATGAACTTTTCAAACGAACTGGTGGCATCAGAATTCCCATGTAAATACAATTTTGTCATGAGCACACAGGCATTGAATCAACAAAATTTTCAACCATGACACACAACTGCTGGTTCACCACACCACATTTAAGTGATTCATGGAATCAGAAGAAGAGACAATCAACATCAAGCTGCAAAAATTGCTAACTTATTTGACCGCCCGTCTCTATTTGTTCATCACATTCCATGGCATTTTTATGAGTATGTTTATCCAGTAACCTTTGCAAAGTACACAATTGGACCCAATAATTTGAACTCGCTTATTTCAAATTCCCCTTTATCTAGATCTCAAAACCATTTCCCTTAGATTTGCCCTTCAGTCGTTTACTTATTATTGGCTATTTCAAATGCCACTATTTCAAAATATTCTGCGTTACCCCTGAGAGTTCAAAATAGCAGGGTTTAACTCTTTATCAAAATGACCAGGGGTTTCATTAAAGGCTGGGCATCAGGCAAATTGACTCGCTGTGAAGACAATTTTGTCCAGCCGGTTTGACCACTTAGTGGAAAGATTTTCTTATGAGGAATTTCAGATCAAATAGTTTTGCTCGCCTGTGAAGAAAAGTTGTCCTCCTGCTGAAAACATTAATAAAAACCCTGAATGACTCTAGATTTTAACTGCCCACAACTCACGTCAATGGATGAAACTGGCAGTCTGTGAGCTTCAAACATCTCTTGCAAGTTTTCTTTCATGACTGTTTTGCCCAAATGTCCAACCCAGATTGTTGTACTACAAACTAAAAATCAATGTAATCATCAATGTTAGTCTCATTTGATGTAACATATCAAACACGAAAGACCGAGTTTGACCACATTTCCAAACATCGAGAGGAGAGTTAAAAATATGACACACAGTGGAGTTATTTTGATGAACTCCAAGGTGTTTGGAATGTGGTCAAACACAGTCTAGAGTGAGGAGAAAATGGAGAAACAAAATCGTAGAAATCTATGTTAATTCAGATCAGATATCGAAACACTGTCTCACAATCATGATTTCCTCTGTTTAAACTTGATGAATTTTTAATGAGTTTGAGAATGTAATTTGATAAGAGTTTTTAGGTCATTGAACAGCAGTAAACTTCATTTAATCTCACAAATTAGTTTAACAGACTTGCACACATATTCACAGTTACTTTTTGTTACAATCATAAAGAATTCCTATCAAACCACAGAAGACTTAAAAATGAGTGAACATAACTATGGAAGAAATATACCACAGAGAATAAGAATGGTTAGATTGCAAACTGCACCCATGATCTAGCCTGTTTAACATAGCATACCACTCAAAGTCTCCTTTCTCGGTACTGGTATCCAGTCACTCCTTTTTTCAGCCTCTCGGTCACTCCCACGTCCTCTTTCCCTTTCACGGTCCCTGTCAAGGTCTCGATCTTTGTGCCACTCCCTGTCTCTTTCACGATTTCTACCTCTGTCTCTTTCTCTATCCCTGTCCCTGTCTCGTTCTCTCCCATAAGGAGAACGTGATCTTCTTCTGGGTGAGCGATCTCTCCATCTGGGACTTCTACTCCGTCTCCTTGGTGATCGGGACTTATGGTAATGGCCACCAGGTGACCTATCCCGGGGATGCAGGTCTGGCGATCTTCTACCAAATGATCCTGCCAGGGAAAAAGAGCAACAATGAGAAATGAACACTTCTCCTTGCTTCAAATGCTTCAAATGAAGGGAAGGGGTTGGTAATGAGCATTGCTTCCAACCATTAGAGGTTAACCAAGTTCACAGAAGGTGTAGCAACGAAATTAACTTCATCCAATCACTCCTTTTGGACAAGGACTGTGTGAGTGGGAAAGTTCCTACACATACCTGCAGGATCTGGGTGTCGGTCAGATTGCTCACCCACCGGTCGGAACGTATTCTGAAATTCACCTTGCATGTCACCCATGTGAGGGTGGACTCTACAACAGAAATCCAAAGGTGTTAAACTGAATTCTAATGGCAATAATAATAATTATAGTAATTATTATTGATATTACTACTATTATTATTTCATTCAAAAATAATTTGAGAGTCACTTAGGGCTTTTTCCACACACCCCTTCAATTTTGTGTTTTACATGAGTTTAGAAGTGGCTGATCATTTGAATTGAACAGTAATAACTTACTCTTGGCTCAGCCTTCTCTCTTCCTCCAACAAATGCCGTCTTTGCTCAGCAATCCTTGAGGCATCATCATCATCATCGCCATAGTCAAAATCATCAATGAGAGACTAAGACAAATAAAACAGCATAATGTTACACATCCATGCGTAACAATAATAACCTATCCTACTTAGAAAAAAAAACATGGGAAAGCAAATGCTGTCAAGTTTATGCAACAATCATTGCAGTGCAAATTTAAAATATCACACGATGTCAACATTCTTACTGTGAGTCGAGTCAATTAAAATATTGAACTACGCATTTCAATAATGGAATAACAGAGCAAAGGATGCACTACAATTCTAGAAACAATTCATTGCTTTGCTGAGGGAGGAATAATTGACCAACTTTGAACATAACATGACTCAGGAGATGACAACAATGTATTACAAGAAGGAAGAGTTATTAGACCTCAAAAGGAACACAATGCACTTTCCAAGAATCCATAAACAGGTACATTAATTCTGTATCATCTACGGATTCTGCATATTTTGAAGAATAGACATGATAGTTAAGCTGTGCTTAACTAATTACCCACCGATCTCTTTTCCTCTTCTTGGAGGGGACCCTGTTGAGCAGGAATGCCAGCAGGACCCATCCCATGGGGAGCCCACACAGGCATACCGGGTGGAGGTCCAAAATTTGCACTATTAGGAAGTCCTGGCATTTGATTGGATGGAGGGGGATCTGAACTATTTTCCTCTGGAATGTTTGACTGAGATGAAACTGAGGATGAGTCTGGTACAGCAGTCTGGTTTGCCTGTGGCATTCTGATATTCATACCTACACCAAAATAATTGTTGCAAGTCAATAATATTATTATATTAGAAATATGGTGAAATGAAAGGCAACTGACTTATTTAACTCAGCAATGCTTGCATTACTGGAAAGCCAAAATAGCTTCATCTGAGAAGTGTGACAGATTTCAACAATAAATTTGCTGCAGAATTTTGTCAATGGAACAAAATATTGTAAAATTGACAAGGAACAAACTACATTGTATAACAGGAAATACAAAATGCTAAATATATGGGGCTATTGAGCCCTGTAGGAAACAAAGAAATCATTACCTGTAAGTGCTTGTATCTGGGCATAAACTTCTGGTTGTAGTTGAAACTTAGGTTGCTGTTGTTCCATCACTGGTGGGGGTAGACCACTTCCCTGAGGTTCGGCTGTCGATGACAGAGCTCCTTCAGCTGTGAGCTGAGACTGGTGAGGAGCTTCATACCCTGGCTGGGGCTCTTGCAGTGTAGGCTGCACACTGGACAAACCCTGTGGCATACCAGGTCCCCCAGGCTGCATCAGAGGTACTCCTGAAGGCATAAGCTGCTGTTGCATTAACTGCTGTTGCTGTTGTTCATTGATCCGCTGTTGTTCTTGAAGCTTCTGCTGAAGAAGCTGAATCTGTTTTAAATGCTCCTGCTGCTGTTCCTCCAGCACTGTAGCGAGTGGATTACTCGAGCTCAGGACAGCTTGACTTTCCGGCATTTCTACAGAGGATTCCTTGAACATCTCCACAGCAGATGGTATTTCACCCTCTGCAAACAAAACACAACAAAATTTTTAACTCTGGCAATTTTCTGGACATAAACCAGTGTGCATGTAACCTTTCTGCCCAGTTTACTAGTGTAATGCAGAAGCAATTGCACATGAAAACACACACAAAGTTTATTTGTCTGAAGCAAGAAAGGTAACTAGGTACAATATACATACTATAANCATTTTAAACTAGAGGAAATCGAGGGATACTTCATTTTGGGATGGGCCACTAAGAATTCAAGGAACCTGGCCCAACTGGCCACCAAGCACTGGAGTAAATTTTTCGCCCTGCTACTCACCTTCTTCCAATGTTGATGGCAAGCTCAGGAGAGGTTGAATAACTTCAGGTGGATAAATACCATTCTTTTGCCACAAGTTCAAGACTTTGATCACCTTTCCCTGAGGCATAAAACATGTCAGAAATTAGAAACTGTACACTGTTTGCCACTTGACAAAGTTGTGATTACTTCTGGACAACTTTTTGGCTGTTTTCTTTTGCATGACTTTTGATGGCATTTGATTCTCATAGCCAATCAATACACAAGAACTCTCAAAGTCTGTATTTTGATAACCAACATCTTGCCACACACAGTTCATGCAATTTCATCTTCTTGTTTAAATGGAGGCCATCAGAAAGTGGTCAAAAAGATGTCAAAAATTAGTCAAAACAGTGGTAACAATATGTAACTGTATAGCAATCTACACTGGAACAACAAGGCACATAATTTTTCCACAGAGAAAGAATTCCAGGTCACCCAAGCTTTGCAGAAGAAGGCATCAACAGGTAGATTTCTGCCTTCTTTCGAGACAAAAGAGATTGCCTGTTTTGGCTTAAAACTACAAGGCAACTTAACTTAACTAACTGTCTATTACATCTCTGTTTCGCCAAAAAATGTCAAACAAAAAAAATTGATGTAGTGTGTCATATTCTGACCTGTTCCTCGACAGGACATCTGAAGATGTTCTGGAATGTTGGTTTAATGTTTTTGGCAAATCGTGGTCCATATACATCCTTCTCAGAACCAAACTGAAAGAGAAATAAAGAAAATTACTAAGCAAGAAAATTACAGAATTATTATACAAATATTCATTCCGCAAATAGGAAACAAAAAATTTGATAATAAAAATTGTAGAAAATGCTAAAACTAGCAGTTTGAACAAGGGCTCGGCGCAGGATTTTGCCTACCTGGTTTGCCCATTTGGAGGAAAGTTTTTCTTACAAAGAAGTTCAGTTCCAAAAGTTTTGCCTGCCTGAGAAAACAACTTGCCTTCCGAATGAAAACTATAATGAAACTCCTGCTAAAACAAACTAATTGTGAATAAATGCTAATGGTCAAACCAGAATTTTTTCCCAGAAACTTCTCTACTTCTCTAGTGTAGTGATCCAATACTGACTGGCAGTTTCCTCAAGAGCCATTTGAGTTTTGATAAGTTTGTGTATAGACTGAAATGATACCACTTCTGCATAAAGAAGTGAGTATATAATTACCTAGTGGTTGAACATTTATCAAAAGACTGAGAAATTAGTTACAAGGCAAGTTGTCATAGCAAGACAGCGAGTTGACACTTCTAAAATGGAAAGCATAACCCTCAACTTATATAACAAATTGAACTTTTTATATCACATGATTCCCAGTTTGATAATCTGACTTGGAGGATCAACTTGTCACTAACTTCCTGAGAAAGTTGGAACTTTTTAAAACAATCTTGTCAACCTTACATAGTGCAAACTTGCATAGAAAAGAACACCTGGTTTGATATAAAGTGCTACTTATGCTACATACAATTGTTTCTAGCAGTATTCCTTAGCATGTAACAGTGCATATCTTGTAATCAGGACAATATCATTGTGACTAATAACACTGCAGAATGGCAACAAAGAATTTTCAGTTTTGTTACTAAACCAATCAAACCCCAACACTCACACACAATTTACTTTAACCAAAGAAGCCTTGGTTTCTTTCAGCATGGAGCTTTTTCATCCATTTCTACAAAACTCAGGCCCATGACAAGAATCCGTGCAACATAGAACGGCCAAAATTTTCACTGCAAGCAAGACTTTCTTTACTGAATGGTTTCTGTCAACAAACTTTAATTCATGTTTGTTGCTTCCATATCACGTGGTTTCTTAAAAATTTAGCCCAAAGCATTATCAATCTACAAGTGCTATACTCTAAAGACAAAACTAGAATGACCTTTTACAATGTCATAGCAAACTACAAACATTATGTAAGTCACCTCTCGATTGAACACGATCTTTTTTGTCTGTTATATAATTTATTGGGAGGTTCACAAAATAACAATATGGGCATCTAACATCTTTTTTGGCTTTTTCTTTACTCAGAAACTCCCTTCTTACATTAAATAAATTTATCATGGTAAAATCATAATTAATTTTACTGTCATTTTTATGAGCAACACGGCATTGCACTGGCGATCTTAGTTACAAATGCTGGAAAAAACTATTGAGCTCTATAATCAACGGTTTTTAAGTTCCTTTATAGGGCAATATTCTCAGTCATACAGGGATCTGACTGCATTTTACCTGATGTCTCGATTGTCTGATAACAGAATCCATCACATACAGAGCTGGAATCTTGTACTCCTGCCGACACTGCATAAACAAGCGAATATTTGCGAAAATTAGACTCAACAAATTGAGCAGATTTCCCCACAAAAAGAATTTAACAACGAAATGCAATCTAAAAGTGACAAGAAAACAGTTGATGAAACTTACTTTTTGCGCAAACTTCTCGATGCTTTGCACCACGTGTTTGTAATACTGCAATAAGGACGTTACGTTAATCAGTAACCGAAAACGCCATTTTCATTTTCCGCGTGAGAAATTCAGATGAAGAACAAACCATACCTTGATGGCTTTAACAGCAAGCCTGGTAACCGAAGCAACTTTTGCTTTCGAAATAGGAGGCTTAGTTTCATAGATGGTCGACAGCTGAAATGAGGGTGGAAGTTTGCATATTATTCGACGAGAGATCGGTCATAATAACAAACACCAGCTCTTGACTACATGTTAACGAAAGCGATTTTCACTTACAGACACAATTTAACGACCTCATACTTACTTCACTATTGAACTGTCTTACAATTTCCATGTCCCCCATTTTGCTTTAGTGGGTAATTTTAGAAACAAACTAGAAATTGCTCAATAACCGACTCCATTGTCAAGCAAAAGGAAACCAACATGGCCGCGAGCGGCGTGTGACTATCCCATCATCCATCAGTCACTGCAATGGTGTGCAAATCACCCGTGGGATCCCCGGTGCAACGGAAAAAATATTTCTACCCTGGGGGCCCAAGAGAACTGAACGAAATATATGAACTTATATGGTAAAGATAATTAGTGAAATAGATTATTGGGAAAAAAAAGGAAAATTAACTGAGGTAGTGAGAGTAGGAATAGGCAGATTGAAAACTACATGCCTGGTGGAATCCCGATTTCTCGAAATACAAAATTGAACCAAATTGGCCAAAAGTCATTTCACTCCCCTCAGTCGAACAGTCTGGACACCGATTTTTTACCAAACCGATTTGTTTGTTATCCTTAGAGGTTCTAAAAATCGGAATTTCACTTAGTGCAAGGAAAAATATATATATGGCTCTAGATGGGGGATTTTTTTAACCTCATTATATTAGCGTTGGATTTATGACTCTGCATCTCACAAGTCGGAAATGTGAGAAAACTCGTTCTTCAATTTACCCGTAGAAGATATATGTAACATATATTCGAAGCTTGCAATCATGGGTTTGAACTGAGAAACCTCCCATATGCATCTTTTCTTTGAGTTGAGGGTGAAATACTTTCGAGGAAGGCTGTGTTTCCTGTGCGAAATTGAGATTCCCGCCAAATTGAGGCAAATGTTCACCGCTGAAAGTAAACACTGAAGTATAACATAACCAGCAGGTGCAAATCAGAGTTGATCAGATGTTCTGTTAGCGCTGTACGCCGAGGAGGAAATATTCCCCGAAAAATACCGAAATCGATCATGG